TCTATTGATATCATGCGCACGAAACTCTGTCCAAAAGAAGGCCACGCTCTGTTGTATTTTTCATTTTCTTTGTAGGCAAAAATAATCTGAGCCCACTACATATTGGGATAATTTTACTTTCGAAGTACTGTAATATGGCAAACATGCTGTGCACCAGATGAGGAATTCAGTTTAGCATATCTTTGAAATGCAGACCTGTCTCAATTTTCGTATAGTCTATTAACAATGTTTTTGATAGCACATCTAACTGGCTACAACGAAGCAAACAATCACACAGGCTGGAAGAAATTTGCGTACCAAAATAGCGTTTGTATGGGAATTGGGAAAGGAATTATTACCTGGATCTGGGGTAAAAAAATGGAGTCTTGAAGCTTGCAGACACAAATGCCTCAGCCCATGTGGTCAGTAATATCCTTCACGAACGTGCCGTAGCCTTCCTTTCCAGCAACCCTGCCGGATCCCCTCAGCACTGGTGGGCTGGTGGCCGCCGGCCGCGTATACCAAGACAGCAAGCTGCCATCGGACGGCCCTCGCCTGAGTAGAGGGGTAGCCGGATAAGGGTGGGTGGCGTTGCTGCCTGACCTGATATGTGTGAGACGCCGATATGGAGCCTCGTCGAATGGTTCGGCCGTTCGGGGATAGCCGCCGCCGCCGCCGCTGCGGCCACAGCGCCGCCGGGTGGCGTTGGTAGTGGTGCGGTGGGGGCACTTGGAGCCCCAAGGAATAATCGAGTCCAATTTGAGTGGGCCTTGAATTGAATAAGGTGGGCTGCGGTGAGTGAATTGAATATTTTGGGCTACTTTGTTCGTGGTGCATGAACCGATGGACATGTTGGGTCATGTGCTAAATTTGAAAAAAAAATCTCAAAAAAAAAGTGCTAAATTTGATGCTGCGATTGAGTCGAATGCCTACAACAACAACAAAATCTTTAAGTCCTAAACAAGTTATGGTAGGCTAGAGTTGAAACCCATCAGAAGCGATCAAGGTTCAGGCACGTGAATAGTTGTCTTCCAAGCACTCCTATCTAAGGCTAAGTCTTTGGATATATTCCATCCTTTCAAGTCTCCTTTTATTGTCTCTACCGAAGTCAACTTCGGTCTTCCTCTGCCTCTCTTCACGTTACTATCCTGGCTTAAGATTCCACTACGCATCGGTGTCTCTGGAGGTCTCCATTGCACATGTCCAAACCATCTCAACCGGTGTTGGACAAGCTTTTCTTCAATTAGCGCTACCCCTAATCTATCACGTATATCATCGTTCCGAACTCGATCCCTTCTTGTATGACCGCAAATCTAACGCAACATACGCATTTCCACGACACTTAGCTGTTGAACATGTCGTCTTTTCGTAGGCCAACATTCTGCACTATACAACATAGCAGGTCTAATCGCCGTCCTATAAAACTTGGCTTTTAGCTTCTGTGGTACCCTTTTGTCACATAGGACACCAGACGCTTGCCGCCACTTTATCCATCCTGCTTTGATTCTATGGCTAACATCTTCATCAATATCCCCGTCCCTCTGTAGCATTGATTCTAAATATCGAAAGATATCCTTCCTAGGCACTACTTGACCTTCCAAACTAACATCTTTCTCCTCCCGAGTAGTAGTGCCGAAGTCACATCTCATATACTCAGTTTTAGTTCTACTGAGTCTAAAACCTTTGGACTCCAAAGTCTCCCGCCATAACTCCAGTTTCTGATTCACTCCTGTCCGGCTTTCATCAACTAGCACTACATCGTCTGCGAAAAGCATACATCAAGGGATGTCTCCTTGTATGTCCCTTGTGACCTCATCCATCACTAAAGCAAACAAATAAGGGCTCAAAGCTGACCCTTGATGTAGTTCTATCCTAATCGGGAAGTCATCCGTGTCTCCATCACTTGTTCGAACTCTAGTCACAACATTGTTGTACATGTCCTTAATGAGCCCGACGTACTTCGTTGGGACTTTATGTTTGTTCAAAGCCCACCACATAACATTCCTTGGTATTTTATCATAAGTCTTCTTCAAGTCAATAAAAACCATGTATAGGTCCTTCTTCTTCCCCCTATACCGCTCCATAACTTGTCTTATTAAAAAAATGGCTTCCATGGTTGACCTTCCGGGCATGAAACCAAATTGGTTCATAGAGACCCACGTTATTGCTTTCAAGCGATGCTCGATAACTCTCTCCCATAACTTCATAGTATGGCTCATCAACTTAATTCTCCGGTAATTAGTACAACTTTGAATATCCCCTTTATTGTTGTAGATCGGTACCAATATACTTCTCCTCCACTCATTAGGCATCTTGTTCGATTGAAAAATATGGTTGAACAGCTTGGTTAGCCATACTATAGCTATGTCCCCGAGGCATCTCCACACCTCGATTGGGATACCATCCGGTCCCATCGCCTTACCTCCTTTCATCATTTTCAACGCCTCTCTGACCTCAGATTCTTGGATTCTCCACACAAAGCGCCTATTGGTGTCATCAAAAGAGTCATCCAACTGAAAGGTTGTGTCCATATTCTCACCATTGAACAATTTGTCAAAATACTCTTGCCATCGATGTCGGATCTCATCCTCCTTCACCAAGAGATGCTCCCTTTCATCCTTAATGCACTTAACTTGGTTGAAGTCCCGTGTCTTTCTCTCACGAACCCTAGCCATCCTATAAATGTCCTTCTTTTCTTCCTTCGTACTCAAATGTTGGTAAAGATCCTCGTACGCTCTACCCTTTGCCACACTTACAGCTCGCTTTGCAGTCTTCTTTGTCACCTTGTACTTCTCTATGTTGTCCACACTCCTATCATGGTACAAGCGTCTATAGCATTCTTTCTTCTCCTTAATAGCCCTTTGGACTTCCTCGTTCCACCACCAAGTATCTTTAGCCTCGCCTCCACTTTCTTTGGTTACTCCACACACCTCTGAGGCCACCTTCCGAATGTTGGTTGCCATCTTCTCCCACATGTTGTTTATGTCGTCTTTTTCCTTCCAAGAGCCCTCTTTGATAACCCTTTCCCTGAATACCTCTAACGTCTCCCCTTTCAGTTTCCACCATTTTATTCTTTCAATCTTAGCTTTTTTATCCCTACGGGCACGCACCTAAAAATGAAAATCTGCCACCAAAAGCTTATGTTGAGAAACAACACACTCTCCTGGTATCACCTTGCAATCCAAGAATGCTCGTTTGTCCTTTCTTCTTGCGAGGACAAAGTCAAACTGGCTACAGTGTTGTCCGCTACTGAAGTTCACTAGATGAGATTCTCTCTTTCTAAAGAAAGTGTTGGCTATCATCAGGTCAAAAGCTACCGCGAAGTCCAGAACTTCCTCCCCCTCCTGATTCCTACTACCATACCCAAAACCTCTATGAACTGCCTCGAAACCTACGCTTGTAGTACCTACATGCCTATTAAGATCTTCTCCTATAAAAAGCTTCTCACTACTAGGTATAGCTCTAACCAGGCCATCTAAGTCTTCCCAGAACTGTCTCTTAGCACTCTCGTCGAGGCCTACTTGGGGGGCATACGTACTAATTACGTTCAAGACCATATCACCAACGACAAGCTTGACTAAGATAATCATATCTCCTTGTCTTCTCACTCCCACTACACCATTCTTGAGGCTCTTATCAATCAAAACTCCTACTCCATTTCGATTCGCGACTGTCCCTGTGTACCAAAGCTTGAAACCTGTATTGTCCACCTCATTCGCCTTCTGATCCTTCTATTTAGTCTCTTGAACGCATAATATATTTACACGCCTCCTAGTCGCGGTATCAAGTAATTCTCTTAACTTACCTGTAAGTGACCCTACATTCCAACTACCTAAACGGATCCTAGTTGGTTCGACTAGCTTCCTTACCCTTCACACCCGTCGACTCAAATGCGAAGACCCTTACTCATTTTTCACTACACCCGGGCGCCGATGTAGCGCGCCACTAAGGAAGCGACGACCCGATCCTTGCTCACTTGACACCATGCCCAGATCACGACACGGCGCGTCACGGGGGTGACGATCCGGCCCTTGCCCATTTAACACCATACCCGGGTTCCGATATGACGCGTCGCTAAGAGGGTTACGCCCCAACGATTTTCTTTCGGGTTTCATCTCCATTAAAGTGGCTAAGTTTTTACATTGGCTCGCCACGCCTAACACAACCCTCCTACTTTACCAGGGCTTGGGACCTGTTATGCTGGGACACTAAGGGTGCCCCACCATGGGCGGAGTTAACAGAAGAATGCCTACAGGATACTTATTTGTAGGCCGTCCGCAACTGTTGTATTCATGGCTCCAATAGGCCTGTACATGGTCCGGTTTCACCGGGACCTCGACCGTGCGGCAGTTAGCTAGCTAGACGGTTTAGAAACCAGCGGGTACGACGGATGATTCGCTGCCAGAGCCGTGAAGGACTTGCTGACTCCATGCTTGCTTGCTTGTCACGGCGGCAGCGAGCGCTTGTCGTGCGGCTATAGGCTCACGAAGGCATAAGCACATGCACCAGGTTGGTGATTGTGTATGAATTAAGCTTTGAACGGGTTGGTGGTTTCAAACCTCACTCAAACCAAACCACATATGGCCTCCGGCAGCGGTTCATCACGGGCTGGTTCCCCACGGGTTTGCCGGGTTGAAACCGCACCCACCATGTACAGGGCTAGCTCCAACTGTTGTGTTAAGGGTGCGTACTGTATCATATAGTAGCAGTAGTAGTATCATCAAAATTCTTATTAGGACTCAGCGACGACCACCACCTTCGGTGTTTCACAAGCGAATGCTTCACCTTATATAGTACCAGACCACAAACATATAGGAATGCTTCTCATCTTCCTCTGGGACTGCAGTCAGATCAGAGGAAAAAATGGTTTGGATCCCCAACAGCGATATGCTCATCATCACAGAAGAATGGCCTAGAAGGCATTTGTAGTCCATCGGTGCCACATTCAAGCATATCTATGACTTCACTAGCTCATCGTCGGACGATCGTGAGGCTTCATCTGAATGCACCGCAACCCAACAATGCACAGTTCCTCTCCAACTCATGCATATCAGCAACAGCAGCAGAAGGTATCTCACTCGCTTCTTGATTAGCTAGCTGATCATACACCCACGACGGGTAGTATGCCTGACTACCAGACCTGAAGCTAGAATGCTCTGGCCAGGACACCATTCTGGTTCACCCATCTTATGCCCCATACATAGTGACTGCCATAGATTACAGGCGTGGTACCCTGACGCTTCTCATGTCAGCAGCCCTACCTCATAGCACTGTCGACTATGAGGACCCCTTCCCACTATTATGCAATCTTGGCTATGCGGTGATAGTAAGCTGCTTAACAGAGATCACACCAAGTAATCGTGCTTCCAATTATATCTTCGGCCCAATCTCGTGCCTTAGCAACACATCCTACTTCTCCTATTTGGTAGATGGTTCTGCACACCTGTATGTGCTTCCATTAGATTGCAAGGTCGTGCCTGATAGCTTCTTCCCGATGCTCAATTTCTCTGAGGCAACTTTCACGTATTGTTCTTATGATATTAGTGGATTTAAGATTTTTCATGACTGCACACAGTGTGAAATTGGTGGGCAATACTGTGGATTCAACCCACAGAGGAATCAAACTTTCTGCATGAATCACGGTATTTTCTCTAACTGGTCCATACATTATAAGTCGTTACAGTATTCAATTTCATCTATTGAGATGCTACTATGCAATTCTTTGAATTTCATAGATACTTGCATTGTCAGCTTACCTCGCAAAGTGGTACTGCAGATCATTTGGGTAGCAAGCCTCAGCAAGCAAATTAAGGCAAACAAAGTCTGATCAAAATCAAGAAGATGAAATTAACTATGCACTTAATCTTGCAGTAGTTAGCCCCAATTTTACAAGTATTTTAGGGCCTCTTCAGTACATATAGAAAGGTGGACACTACTACCAAAACCACAAAATAATGCTTCAAATAATGATGGGAAAACAGAGACGATGTTTAATAAACTAGGCAGGGTGGAGCACGATGCGCGCATGTACGAAAAATGTTAATATAGAACAATAAAAAATTACAAATAATTATATTTAAAGCAGTGCTATATTGTGGGAAAAAATGTTGAAACGAAACCAAAAATCAAATTGCTTGTATCTAATTTCAAATTTGATCAAAATTTGTTATGCTATTTTGTTTTTTTGGAACTGCATAATACGTTCTTTGCTTGAAACTTGATTGATTTTAAGATGTTTAGTGTATGTATTTTGTTTGATAGGAAAAATGGATTTATATTCGTTACATTAAATAGGTTCATGGTTTTCATAATTGTTTTGAATATATATTTGAGTTTATGATTGTTTGAGGAATAAAGTAAAAAAAAAAGAATTTGGAGTGTTATTGTATATAAATTTTAAAAATCATATATTAGGCGTACTCAGTGCAGAAAGCTCACAAAAAAGGGAGAAGGATTACATTGGAAGGGAAGAAAAAAACTGTGGGGCCTACTTGAGAACAATACCGTGGGTCCCACTTATGAACAGTGTCGCGGGACCCACTGTGAACAGCCTCACGGGTCCCGTTTGAACAGTGTGTGGGGTCCCACGTGGGGCCCGAACAAACGGGAGGCCTCCAAACCTTGGACGATTAGTATAGGTAGCAGAATATAGAACACTATTGTTAAGAATCATTGTGATAATTATGATAATGCAGTTTGAAATACGATGGCTAAGTATGGGATAATGGCAATTTGAATGAGTACATGCAACAGTTAGAGACCAAGGTTTTACATGAAACAATTTACTGCACTGCTGTAAGAATTTTCATAAGAATCACAAGGAAAAAAACATAACTGAGATGAAATAAAAGCAAAGCAACTCCTCCACTGTAAAATATTTAGTTCAGCAACCCCACAAAAAGATTCCAAGAAATTCATGTTGCAATGGTGGCTACTGGATATAAGCTTAAAAGGTTAAGAGGAAATTGTTGGGTCTATCAGCTTTACGTTACTTTATTGGCATTGACATTAATAAGCTTGCATCATCAGTTCTAATGCTGGAGCTGCAGTAGTAGTAGAACCTGCAACAAAAAGAGAGTTTAACGCCTAGAAGTTTTTGTGTACTCTGAGGCTGCGGCCACATTATGCAGCTACTTGTACTGCAATATTGGATCTTACCTTTTTATTTCTCAACAGTTCATCTTAACATCAATAGAAACTTATTTTCTTCTTTGGTATTTGCAGGCTCACACCTCAAAGTTCTTGCAGGTACTTCTAGTCAATATTTCTTCGTATCCGAAATAAATAAATAAAAAAAGCTAAGTACCACACACAAATTCTTAATTTTCTCTACTTTGACTCTTAACGTTATCTTATCCCCAAACTAAGTAGTGTGTTTCTATCCTGACACAGTATGCTGATTTCCTATCCTTTTCTTGTCAGCTACATCGTCGGTAGACGCACTAGTTGTTCTTTTGTTGATGGTGGCTACGGCACTCTACTTTTCACTCAACACAAGATATAACGAGGAGATACACTTGAAAGTCGAAATGTTTCTAAGGACACATGGCACCTCAAAACCCACAAGGTACACTTTCTCAGAAGTTAAGAAGATAGCAAGGCGATTTAAGGAAAAAGTGGGCCAGGGTGGATTTGGATCTGTATACAAAGGCGAGCTACCAAATGGAGTTCCTGTGGCTATCAAAATGTTAGAGAACTCTACAGGAGAGGGAGAAGAATTCATCAATGAAGTTGCAACTATAGGACTAATTCATCATGCAAATATTGTGCGCCTACTGGGATTTTGCTCCGAAGGAAGAAGACACGAGTCATTGGAGAAATATATTTTCTCGTGTTATTCTAATACCACTCAAGAACTCATAGTACCAAACAAAATGGTCAATGTTGCTTTAGGCATTGCACGAGGAATGGAATACCTACATCAAGGATGCAACAAACGCATCCTCCACTTTGACATCAAGTCTCACAATATCTTGCTTGACTACAACTTCAATCCAAAGATCTGACTTTGGCCTTGCAAAATTGTGTGCAAGGGATCAAAGCATAATTACCTTGACGGCAGCAAGAGGCACTATGGGGTATATTGCACCCGAGTTCTATTCTCGCAGTTTTGGGGGCATATCCCACAAGTCAGATGTTTACAGTTTTGGCATGTTGGTGTTAGAAATGGTAAGCGGAAGGAGGAACTCGGACCCAAGTGTTGACAGCCAAAATGAGGTTTACCTCCCAGAGTGGATATTTGAGAAAGTAATCACTGGACAGGACGTGGTACCAAAGGAAATGACAGGAGAAGAGAGAGAAAAGGTGAGACAGCTGACCATCGTGGGACTATGGTGCATTCAATGGAACCCAAGAAACCGACCCTCAATGACAAAGGTGGTAAACATGTTAACAGGGAGGTTGGAGAATCTTCAGATGCCCCCAAAGCCATTCGGGGATGCCATAAAACATGAAGCTACTATGCTATCACCATTTAATGAATAATCGAGAGATGAGCTTAGTTATTCCAGTGTTGCATAGTAATGATAGCACTAGCACGAAATGTATTTCGATCTTTCCTACTGTATTAACACCTGGCTTATGAATAGGAGTCATTTGTCACCACGTAATACTAGTTATTTGCAACATATGGGACATGACTTGAGTTTCGAAAGTTCGAATACAATAGGCTCTTTCCTTTTCCTGAATATGTTTTTTTTCTCGAATACGTAAAAGATTTGCGTATCATTGTATTAAGTAGAAGAGTTTAAACGTACAGACAACGCGCTTCTATCGAGCACCGAAGGAGGTCGACCTAAAACAGTCGTAGCTGGACTATCCTAGCAAAAGACCTCTAGATTCGATATTACATAAATGGAAACAACCAAGACCGACGCAACGGTGCGACCTAGGAGGTGGCCTTGCGCCTTCGCGGCTGCCTGGACAAGCCTTTACCATAGTCCGGGAAGAGCGCGTCCAGTGCTTCGACATTGGACGCAGTCAGGTTCCCGTTGAAGATCTTGTCAAAGGCCTCCAGCTCCGATGCGGATGGCACCGAAGGACCCTTGGTGTAGCCCATGCGCTGCATGATCAGCACCTCACCTCGCTTGGAAGCAGGTACTCGAGAGAGGCTCTGAGCCGCCAACCGCCTGCTCCGCCATGGTAGCACCGGCTTAGCAAGAGACTGCTTGGGGGGCTCACGAATAAGCGGAGAGTCGACCTTCTTCAGTACGCGCCTGGTGAAGCTCTTGAGGCGGTGTGCGGTAGAGCTGTCGCTGACGTCGACCGCGTGGTCCTCCCAAGGCGGCGTACTGAACTTGTCAGCATCTGCCGGCTCGGCCGGACCAAAGCCCGGCAGACCGCCCGCCCCGTCCACCGTAGGCACATCAGCTCCTGAGGTGGTGGTCGGCGCCACCCGAGGTGGCGTGGCCTGAGCCTGACTGTGCTCAGGCGGTAGAGGAGCGTAGTCTACTGCCATCTCACCATGGGTACCGAGGCGGTCGCTGGCTGTCTTTCGATAGACCGCGAGCGAGGCTACAATCTCCTCCATCATCAGGTCCTCTGAGACCTCGCGTACGGTGTGCGAGGCGACCGAGTAGTGTGTGAGCAATGGATCGGGCTCGGAAAGGTCCCGTACCTCGCTGGTGGGGTCACCATGACCTTCCCGGGCAGCACTGTAGGCGGCGGAGGCAGTGGTGTCCAGCGCCGCAGCGTTGCCGTCATCCCTTGGCCGCACCCGACGTCTGCGACGTCGGCATCGGCGTCGATGTCCTTCGTCGCAGCGCCCGACACTGCTTCACCCGAGCCCGACGTACCTCCGCCTGCGCCCAAGCCCAGCGTACCGGCGTGAGTGCATGATAGTTCGCGTCGATCCTGGGAAGGACATCGACGGGTGCGCTGAAGTCGCCACCACGCCGGTCCCTGCCGAACACGACCTCGCGGCCGCTTGCGATCACTGCGCTAGGTGGCGGAAGCCCGCAGTGCTAGCATAGCGTTACTGGGCGACTGCAGTCGCCACCTTGTGTGTGGAGAGGCAGTTGAGGCATTTCCCTTGCAGCTCTTGGGGGAAACGAGGCACTCGACGTGGCGGTGGAGCCTCATCTCTGCCTCCAGACGGCCCTCACAAGAGGACCTTGCGCCAGCCGTCGGCGTCTGGGGCGGAGAAGCGTTGCCGGACGGAGGAAGCAGGCTGTCCTAACCTCCGATGGACCGGCCACGCTGCGCACGATCGCGAGCACCCCGACCGGTCCCGTTGCCGCAGTCCCGGCCTCGGACAGGAAGCCCGTGAACGAGCTGCGGGCGTGGCCGCCGATGGTTGGGGCGCTTTCCCCGCCTCCCTGCTCATGACCCAACGGCGGCACCGTTGCGCGTGCCTCTGGCGATGGTGGAGCGCGCTTGGGCATACTCCGGCAGCTGCGGCCCCCGCCGAACGGCGTCGAGGTATGAGGTTGGGGAGATAGTCGACGATGACTCCACATCGGAGGCGTCAAGATCCTCCTCCGCCCACCGACGATCCTTGGAACGGCCCATCAAGTTCCCCCCTGGGTGGAAGGGGGAGGCTTGGGGGGAGAGTGACGACGACGAGCTGGGGGCGGAAGGAAGGATGAGGAAGATGTCAATCCCCGACGCCGGAGGAGTCCGTTAGGCGAGCTGGGTGTTGAGCCCTCCGTGAGCTGAGGTGGCGGCTCGGGTCCGGTCACGGCCTCTCACTGGGGATGCACACACAGTCCGGCCGATTCCTGCTGTGGTGGCGCGGTGCTCCATGGGAGCTTGTGGGCGGCGGCGTCGTAGCTGCGCCATCACCGGCGGCCATGGATCCCGCCAGGTCCGTCGTGTGGGCGCAGACGGGGGGGCGGCGGCGGGCGTGAGGCCGCCTCCAGATCCCTCGCAGGGGAGAGGTGGGGAGGGGGCGCCGGGCGCAGCGGGAGGAGGTGAGGCGGTGGCTCATGGCGGTGGGGCTCATAACGTCACGGCGGCGTGGGGGGCCACCAGCGCCGCCTTATTGCACTCCACCTTGCAATCCGCGATAGGAAGAGGAGGGTAGGGAGCGAAGGACGTAGGGTAGGGCGAGGAGGGAAGGGAGGGGGAGGTGGGTGCGGGCGCCGGCACTGCCGGTGGCGGCGGCGTGGAGTGGGCCGCCAGTGGCGGCTAGGTTTACGGGGTTGGTGGCCAGGGAGTGGTTTAGCCTTGCGGCCGTTGTTGCGGCAATTTATGTCCGCCATTCTTTTTCCCTTTCTGCAAGGCAGTTTTTGCAGTGCAGTCTTCTTCGCTGCACTCCTCATACGAAAGGAACATCCACAGGAGCATCCTATCCATGTCAATTTTTACTCCCAATCAGTGACCCAGTGTATCAGTGAGTCAGTACTATGTGGAAAACTCCACAGGAGCATCCTATATCGGGCGGCCAGTCATGTCAATTTTTACTCCAAATCGTCCCAAGTATTATATGTTTACTATGTAAATGGAGATGGGCAGACGCTGATTCACGCAGAATTTCTTCTGTGTGCAGCCAGACTGAGTATAGGCTCATCTACACCCCACTTAAAAATTTGACACAGAAAAATGCACATTCTGCATTTCTACAATTTATGGAAAAAATGCATACATGCAGATCATGGATAATTATATTGACAAACAAAATTTCAAGGAAACATTTGACCACAGGCCTTCTGTGAAGAAAAGAAAAATAGTCTTTATCATTATTATGAGGACAAATAATAAGTAATTTGTCTTTCCTATGGTCAAGTTTTGTCATCCTAAGTATTCATGACCTATAAGAATATATTGTTTCTTCTAATTCCGAAAACGCACAAGTGCACTGTTGAGATGCGGAGTAGCTAAGCCCAACGTCAACCAAACATTACCCCATTTCTTCAAGATTTTGCAGAGCGAAAAATGAAGGAAAGCAAATAAAAGGAACGATTACCCTTTTGACAATGTCCTCGAATTACCAAAAATGGAACACACCTTTTTCTTTAATCCATTTGCTATATTGTAGTGAACTGAAGGGTTCTTCTTTTTTTCATGATACCTCAAGGGTTCTTGTTGGCACGGGGAAATGTCCAGCTAGTGAAGTGAATCTGCAGACGTAATACAGCACAAAAAAAAAACAGTGTATTAGTTTGAACAGATCCGTCGCTAAGCAAATTGAAACACTCACCAATTCATCCCCTCTGTCCGCAACACAGCTGAATGAGTACTCCATGTCTTCATTCCACTATAGACTGACCGGTACATATTGAAATGAATTCCATACTGATTGAAATGTTTTATTGGACCTTAAATGTACAAATCTCTAAAGCGGAAAATGTTATTCGCAAAACCACCCTTGTATTCCAACCACCGAAGATTGAAGCCTTGGAGCTATGGAGCTAAACTGCTGATCCCAATTTCAGCAGAACGTGGGCACTGTTAATGAGCCCCATGTAGCCTGAAGCTGGAACTCAGACGGAACAAAAGTAAAACGTGGGTATATAACTAAAGCCGTCACTGTGTGTGCCTACCTGCATCTGAAAAAATGTGGGACTGAGCGCTAATCGAGAGAACAAACGGCCTAGGTATGGAACTGTAAAATTCAGCGACGGATCATGTACCCCTAAATTCCCTGATGCATGTTTGGGTTAAGCAAGGGTCTGTAATTAGATCAGATCCAAATGCAAATGGATTAAGGTAGGGTTTGGGTGGTCGGTTTCGCACATCAGGCAGGGAAGAGAAGGGGTCAGCGTACCTGGGGGGTGCTCGTCGCCAGCGAAGGGCCTGATGGTGAGCTGCAGCCAGATCCGGCCGCCGAGCTGAGTCGCCACCGCGGACGGAGGGGAGGAGCCGAAGGCGAGCCGGCAGGGCCAACCCCCGAGCAGCGCACACGGCGCAGCGAGACAGGAGAGGGAGGAGCAAGGGCCGTGCTGGGTGCGGCCGCGCCGGGGCCGGTTCCGGTTCCGGGCAGCGCCACCCGCGCCGGTGCGCCGGCCGACCGGTGGCCACGGCCGCCAGTGCGGCGCCGAAGCCGAAGGCGGAGGCGGCGACAGGTGCGAGCGGGGGTCCCGAGGGGGGCGGCTGGTGGAGGCGAATGGGGTACTTGTTTTTTAACAGCCAGGGGGAAAGAATGGGGAAAAAAACGGGGAAAAACGAGGGAAAGGAGGGGGCTGTAGAAGGCACGGGAAGCCGTCAGAAGCTACGGGAAGCAGTGGCTGTAGGTGCTAGTCAATGAACAGTTAATTGACCGGGAAAACTAAGGGGCTGTTTATTTCCCCTCCAGGACGCCAAATTTTTCAAGATTTCCCGTCACATCGAATCTTTGGACGCATGTATGAAGCATTAAATGTAAATAAAAAATAAAACTAATTATACAGTTTAGACGAAATCCACGAGACGAATCTTTTAAGCCTAATTAGACTATAATTAAACACTAATTGTCAAATAACAACGAAAACGCTACAGTAGCGTTTTGCCAAAAAATTTGGCAACTAAACTGGACCTAAAGATCTCATATGATGTATCGTGGTTCGTGGATCAGAGGTAGTTGCCCACGTTTACCTGGTAAGGACCGTCCCCATCAGTTTTTTTTTTTTCGGTCGAAGCATGCATATTTAGCAGGCCCGTCATCAAGATGAAGGAGGAACAATAAATGTGGGTTTGGGGAGAAAAAATAAGATAAAAGGATAGTACATTGATATTTGGTTGGTTCCGGTAACCTCTATCGACCATGACTCTTTATACTTTTATTATAGGATGCGGAGATAGAATCAGATCCTAAGCAAACACAATATAAAACACAACATACAGGATAAGCTGCTGAAAGAAAAAAAAAACACTAATGAATTGGAGCTGGTTTTTAGTGTTTGAAATTATGTACCTTTCTTAAGTCCCCAAAAAAATCCAAGAAAAAAATAGAAGGGAGCATGCAATTTCCAAGCCCATTTTGAAGCTTTCATTGTTTTCCTTTTAAAAAAAAATAGAAACACTTCCAACAAGATAAAAAATGAAAGAAAATGCAAGTGGACACAGTTCATAGGGTTTTAAAAGAGAGATTTTCCAGAAGTAATCTTATCCTTAAGCAAGAAAGCAGAGTAAATTTCAATGGCAAGATTAACTAAGCAAAGGCTTATATCATTTAGAAATGAGTCAAAGTATATGCTCGCCACTTATTAAATGCATTTCAAATCGACAAGAACAACGAACGATGAGTGAGACTAAAAAGTCTCGACTAACAATAACACTAATTAAATTTGGTGAGTCTAATGTACTCTGAGTGTTTGGTACCAGAATTTGAGTGAGATTAAGAGTACTGAGAGGTAGAAAAAGAACAGAGATCGGTTCAGCTAGACGAGGAACACTGACAAATTCAATTAGAATTCGGTCTGATTAGTTCATAATTTCTTGTCCTCTCCCTCAGACGCTCATCTATATATCCCTTGCTACACAACATAAACACGCCACTTTACATGGGCCATTCCCATTCTGATCCCGAGATGCGCACGCTGGTCGTCCTGCGCCGAGTTCCCCGACGAGGCCCTACTCCAGTTGAATGAGGCACCAGATGTTCAGCAGGAGCAGCAGCAGCGTCAGGAACAGCATCAGTTGTACCTTTGAGATTTGGTAGGCCGCGCACAAGCTCGTCAGCAGATCGACAGGCATCATCATCTTTATGTATGATTTCAAGCTCGATGTTCTCATCATGTAGGAAGTCCAGGCCATAGCAGCAACCAGAAGATGAGGTCTTGTCCAGTTTGTGCGTTCCTTCCTTGTCCTCAGAATCACCAGGGAACTGTGGGCAACGAACACAAAAGATGCGAGACCGATGATGAACTATGTTGCATTGGTTACATAAGGAGCTAGAAACCAAGCTACAGTGTAGTACCTTGCAGTGCCGCAACGTGACCTTCTCTAGATTAGGTGAACCCCGCTGAAAGAATCGCAATATCCGGAAGTCGTCACTGAGGTCACAGTCGCCCAGCAGCAAGTTCCTCAGGTTCTGGAATTCCAGGAATGTGGGTTCCTTACCGAGCACCTGGAGTACATTGGAAGTAGATAGCAGAACCAACACATTATCAGAGTGACGAATAAAATGGAACACTTGCAGAGAAAACAAAGATGCCAAAGAGCATACCGTTGTCCCGACACCTAACAAATCGAAACTTGTCACATTAGACACACCACAAAGAAGCTTGGATTGATCTCCACCAAGTTTACTTCCACACATACTTTTGGACAAAAAACTGTATTTGTGACGGCGTAGATGAATCGAAGCCCTGTCAAGGGATGGCATCTCATTTATCGAAATACCTCCACGGAAGCAGACACCATCCACATCTAGGCGAGATAGGCAACCATGGGGGCTGAGATAGCCAGCAGGTCGCCATACCAATTGGAGCCGCCATCGATAATCAAGGTCTTCAATGTTGGGGATGCAATGTCGGAGAGGAATCCGCCCATGAGCAACTTTTCAAAACTAAGTTCTGGAGCGAGTCAGAGGCGATCGAACGGATCTCACAGGTGCAATGGTCCAGCTCCAAATCCTCCAAAGAGCAGCACGCTGAGCTAAGATGCTCTGTAAACGATCGTCCAGAGGCACGTGGCAGAGATGCAGCCTTCTGAGGCGCCAAGAACTGGGGCTCAGATTCAATCCCTGACGCTGACAACTGATGGCATGACCTGGTCCTGGTGTGCAGTATTTCATCGCACGTCGGATCCATGCTGCTGCTTGTCGGCCGCTGTATTCCCAGCCTTGTATTGCACTGTCAGAGCAAACATAGGTCTGAGGTCTGCAGCCCCTATCAATGTCCAGCCTGAATGAATCCAGCAGTGCGATGTTGCAACGGAGCATGAGGTTGACGGTGAAATCCTCAAATTCGTCCCACACTTTGCCCTTGTCCTGGCTGCTGCCCAAGTCGGAGTCGGAGTCATCAGAGTCAGAGCTGCTGTTGCTGCCGCCACTGCTGGAGGCAGCGCGCCGCCTTGGTCCTGAACTCAACAATGTCGATGTCGAGGCACGGCACAGAGCGCCAGAGGTGCCTCCAGCGTGTTGACAGCACGCACGTCTGCACCACCTGTCGAGCCTTGAGGGAGGACATGATGACGTGGAGGAGGCAGTCTGGTAGAGTGCTCAGCCGGTCCGGGCCACCGGTGGAGCTTTCGCCACCACCATCGCTTGCACGGGTCCGTTTCCTTGTGCCCTCTGCAATCTCCATGGAGTACGTGTCCTGCAAAGCTCCATGTATATGTATTTTTATATAAGATGACCAAACGATCAAACAACCCAAATATAAATCTCCAGTTCCATGTATTACCAAAGGACACCTCTGAATCAAGCTCTAACTCACGCAGAAATTGTCTGAACAATAAGAAATTGCCAAAAAAAACTCAAAAATAAGTTTTTTTAAGAAAAAAGTTTGGTTGGGGTACAGTGCAGCAGAATCCCCATTTGCAATTTACTCAAGAACGGACGAAATTCGATCCGATTAAGGGACGGGGTGTGCAGCTAAATCGGGAGATACGGCCATGCCCCCATGCACTTCCGTACAGTATTAGAGATGAACAATCGTATACGAAGATTGCTATTCCTTCACAGCAATCGATTACGGGTGGGTCGTACGGAAAGCGACGGTGAAGGGGCTTACCGAGCGCCAGCGCCATAGCCTCCAGCCTGCCGCGGGAGGAGAGGCCCCAATACAACCGGAAGCGCCGGAGAGAGCGGGAGACGAGAACTGCCGAAACCCTCGTCTCCGTCGGCGTCGACGGCGAGTCGGCGATGGCAAGTGGGGAAAAGAGGAGGAATGGGGTCGGCGAACTGGCCACACAGCGTGGTACGGTACATGTGCAACGCGAGCACGAGAATCGTCTGGGATACATGGGCCCCCGCTGGGAGCTGGAGGCCCATTTCCGCACAGGCAGGGTTTCTCGGAGGCCCCTGAATTGGACAGGGCCGTGACGATCTTTTATTATTTTAATAACCTAAAAAAATTAATAATAACACAAGACGAATTATTTTTTGGGCACTGCTAGAGCTTGCGCGTGCAGGATTTGGAAGTTCGGCGCACACACCTCTCGCACGGCAGTTTTTAGTGGCAAAAAAAGCACCCACAACAGCTTTTCTTCCCCGACTCGGCGCTTGCGCCCATTGCCATCTGGGCCACATGTGGCATGAACTCGTGCGAAACCCTAGCTCGCCCGCGGCGCCACCTTCATCCCCTTCCTCTCCCCCCGTCGCCGCCGCCACCATGGCTGGAGCTCCCCATACGACCTAGCACGGTGCTGCCGCCGCCACCTGGCTCCCCTAAACGCTGCCGGCCATCCCCACCGCCTGGGCAGCCTTCCTCCCCTAGTGGGCGCCTTCTATACCCGCCGGAGTTGGGGTAAGGGAGAGCTCGCCAAAACCCTAGAAAGCAGATCCGTGAGGAAGAGGAGAGAGGTGAGAGGAGGAGGCCTACCTGGCGCAGATCCGCCGCCACCGCTGTCGGATATGCCGAATCTGTCGCCGCATCTACCAGATCCGCCGTTGCATTCGTCGGATCCGCCGCCTCATCTGCCATGGCCGTGCACGGGGAGGCGGTGGGGCGCGGGCGCGGGGAGGTGCTCGCTAGTGAGGTGCTCACCGGAGAGAGAGAGAGAGAGAGAGAGAGAGAGAGAGGGAGGGGAGGGGGAAAGGGAGAGGTGTGCGGGCGCCGGGCGGGGCGTGGGGGCTGAAGCCTCATATCTTGCGCGTTTGCTTTTTAGCATTTCTGATATTTTTCTTGATTATTATTTTTGTCACGTCAGAAAAGACATTACATCTGCCTTAAAAAAAGACATTACATGACAAATGAATACCGAGAGCCTGCTCAGCCGAACTGCGCACCCGGGATCTATTGGCCTCAATTCAATTCATGTTTGGAATGCCCTGTTGATGGAGTTCTCGTTACCGGTTTTTCTTTTTCCATTTTTATATTTTTCGATGTTTGAAAAATATATAAGCGTCTAGAAAAACAAACAAACATATACTGTACTACTCAAGCCGTTTGAGTTGGCATTTATAAAAATGTCGTTTCCATGTGACTCTATATAAATACTGCCAATTCCATACATGGTAAGGCAGGGCTCGACTCTTTCTGGAATAACCCCGACTTTAGGGTGTGTTCAATTGGATGAATATATTTGGATGGGAGAACCATTCATAGATAGATGGCATTTGGTTTGGTGGACTGGTTGGACGTGGATATCCATTGCAGGAATATTCCTTACAGTGGCAAAAAAAAAAAACTGGCGAATGAGCTTATCCATGTTTCTAATCTTTTTCATTAGCAAAAAAATTAAAGATTATTAGTATGTTATATTATTAATTATGATAATCAGATTAATTTTGATAAGTGCTAATATGTTGATTAGCACACATCACTACTACAAAAATGATTTTCGTGAGACACTGTCTAAACATTAACGCAGACGGTCGCAAATAATCGCCTCCTAAAATTGATTTACGGAGACGGGCCTCTTAAGAGACCTGCATTAAAAATATGGCACGAGGCCCAAAGAAGCCCAAAAGGCCTGTTACCGGTGTTCCATATATATAGTTGAGTTAGGGTTTGGGGGCTTCTCATCCTCTCTCTTGTCTCTCACAGCTCACCCGACACCCTCTCTCTCTCATAGCTCACCCGGTGGCGACGCCTCTCTTCTTCTCTCCCTCTACTCTCTCGATGTGGCGTCGATGTCGGTAGGGGCTGCTTGCGCCCCATGTCTCGACGGTGGAGGCCGCTTGTGCCCTGCGGCTCGACGGTGGAGGACGCACCCTGGCCGTGGTGGGCCCACACGCCCCACCAACGGTGGGGCATCGATCCACGCGCCCCGCCATCGGGGCTTCGATCCGCGGTGGGTGGGCATTGGATCCAGCGGCGGGTGCTCAGATCCGGTGGCAGGTGCCCAGGTCTAGCAATGGCTTTTCTTTTTTCTTGTTTTTTTCTGATTGGTTAACGCAAACGGGCATTGTGTCCGCCTCCGTAAGTTTGCGTTAATGTAGACCTTTCAATGGAGACGGATGCATTACCCGCCTCCAAAAACCGGTTTTGCCTTCCTTGGAAAAGATTCCTACAGTAGTGCATTTTGTGAGCCAATTTGGGTAATGGTAGTACTAATTTTATTTTTAATTAGTGGTTATCATGACAAATTAGTGTTAGTGCATATTTATTAGTGTATAATTCATTTTTATTATTTTTAAAGAATGGATATAATTACTCAACTAAACAGGCAGTATAGATATCAATATCCCAAAATCCATGATGGCCATATCCCATCCACTTTTTTTCTCAAACCAAACACACCCATAGCTTCTCTGGAAATACGGTTTCTTTGGTGGAGTTCAAATCTTAGGGAAACATTTTTCAAAATAATTTCTTCTATTTTTTAGAAATAAGATTAAAGAGGTCAAGTATCCATTGTGCTCTTGTGTATTTGAATCGGTAATACACATGTGAGCTTACTAAAATGCATGTTGCTATAGCCGCACCTAGTTACGCTACACGGAAGTATATTACACAAAGATTTCTCAATGACATAAAATTAAGAAAAGAATCAGCCGCACTTATAAAAAGAGTCATATAAATAAATGTTCTAATATATAATCCTCACCACAAAATCATGGGCACTACCTCTGATCCAACTACAACTCTCATATAGGTTGGATGTTTATGCACAGACACGTAGTATGAGTTAGAGATGGGTGCCCACGATATAGCAAGATTATATGGTGAGAAACGTCCCCATCATTTTTTCCCCCGATCGGAGCATGCACATTCTAGCATGCCCTACGGCACGCTCAACCGTCATGGATATGAAAGAAGAACAATAAATCAGGGTTTGGAGAGAGAAATGAGATAGTTGATTGATATTTGGTTGGATCTGCTACCCTCTATTGGCCGTGACTCTTTATATTTATATATAGGATGGAGAGATCTTGCCTAATATACAATCAGATCCTAAGCAAACACAATATACTGGATACGTTGATGAAAGAAAAAAAACATTAATGAACTGGCGCTAGTGCTTAGTCTTTGAAATTACGTATCTCCTACAACTAAAAAGAACAAAAGTAAGATAATTTTTTTGTGCGACTTTTTTTTTGGGGTCGCTCCTCCCTTCCGGCTGTGCGATACCCGGCACGATAGAAAAAGAAACTATCATCCCTACGATCCCCGCCTGTTTTGAAGGAAACAAATCGATCATTTGAGGCCACATGCATGGAAGGAAACAATAATCATGCATGGAAAGAAACAATCATGCGGTGCCCCTCTAATTGGTGTAGTCCGTAGATTGTCTTTCCAATGGACATGGGAAGAGATCTTCATTGATATGCACCAATCCAAGAGCACAGTGGGAGAAAGCTGAAGCAACTGCAGTTAAGCCAAAGATATGTCTTTATCGGGCACTCGACAAAGACTTTGTCTAGAGCTGAAACTGACACTCGGCGAAAAAAAGTAACGTGACGGAGTGGAAACGGTCACGACGCGTTTGCCGAGTGTCAAATCTCAGGCACTCGGCAAACCTTCTATATTATGATCCTTGGATACCAAGGTAATGAATTTTGATTGTGGATCGAATGCTGTTAACTAGATTTTGTATACGCTTGGTAAAAGAATTGTTGGGACAGTACAAAAGGCACAATCCAAATTACTCCATGGATTAACTAAACTTTAAATGTCACTTTAACGTCGGTCATATACTTTTACAGTATTATTATCTTATTGTGTGATCCGTGTGTTTTTAGTACAAAAGTTTAGCTGTCCCGTAGCAACACACGGGCACGAAACTATTTACATATATACTCGAACCTAAGTGTACATGATTATATGGAGATGCAGTGGAACTTATTCATGGATTTATTGGCGCAGGAAAGAAATGGATATCGTAGAATTTTTTCTGCCGATATAAAATATTATCTTAGCCGTATCACGAAAAAGTCTATACAATAGAGTTTGTGAGCCTGCGACGTCGCGCTTTCCGTGACTGTGTTAATTTCACGAACTTTACTTTTTGAATTAAATGTCATTTTAACGCCGGTATTTAATTTAACAGTATTGTTATCTTATCGTGCGATCCGTGTGTTTTTAGTTCAAAAGATTTAGTTGTCTTGTAGCAACGCACGGGGTACACTACCTAATACCTTTGTTAAGTCCCAAAAACGATCCATGGAAAAAAAACAGAAGGGAGCACGCAATTTCCATGCCCATTTTGAAGCTTTCAGTGTTTTTAATAAAAAATTTAGAAACACTTCCAACAAGAAAAAAAAATGAAAGAAAACATGCAAATGCAAGTGGACACAGTTCATAGGGCTTTAAAAGAGATATTTTGAAGAAGCAACCTTATCCTTAAGTAAGAAAGCAGAGTAAATTTCAATGACAAGATTAACAAAGCAAAAGCTTACATCATTTAGAAATGAGTCAAAAGTATATTCTCGCTATTTATAAAAAGCATTTAAAATCGACATGGACAACGAATCATGGGTTAGACACCACAAAGTCTGGACTAACAATAATGCTAAATAATTTTGCTGAGTCTAATGTAATACTTGACTGTTTGGTACCAGAACTAGAGCGAGATTAAGAGTACCGGGAGATAGAACAACAGAGATTGGTTCAGCCAGACGAAATACTGGCAGACAATTCGAATTCGGTCCGATTAGTTCATACATTTCTTGTCCTCTCCCTCAGACACTCGTCTACATATCTCTTGCTACACAACATAAATACGCCACTTTACACGGGCCGTTCCCATTCCGGTCCCGAGATGCGCACACTAGTCGTCCATTACACGCCACTTTACACGGGCCGTTCCCATTCCTGTGCCGAGTTCCCCGACGAGGCCCTACTCCAGTTGAGTGAGGCACCGGATCTTCAGCAGCAGCGGCGTCAGGAACAGGATCAGTGGTACCTTTGAGATTTTCTAGATTGTCAGCAGATCGGCAGGCATCGTCATCTTTATGAATGATTTCAAGCTGGACGTTCTCATCACGTAGGAAGTCCAGGCCACATCAATCAGAAGATGAGGTATTGTCGAGTTTGCGCATTCCACCTTCATTGTCCTCAGAATCAGAATCATAGTCCTCAGAATCAGAATCACCTAGGAACTTTCAGTGTGGGCAACACAAAAGATGTGAGATCGATGAACTATATATGTTTGCATTGGTCCCACATGAGAAGCTAGTAAAAACCAAGCTACAGTTTACCTTGCAGTGCCGCAAAGTGACCTTCTCTAGATTAGGCGAACCCCGATGAAAGAATCGCAACATGCGGAAGTCATCACGGAGATCACAGTCGCCCAGCAGCAAGTACCTCAAGTTCTGGAATTCCAGGAATGTGGGTTCCTTATCGAGCACCTGGAGCACATTGGAAGTAGATAGCACCAGAACATTATCAGAGTGACGAACAAATAAAATGGAACACTTGCAGAGAAAGCGAACAGCGTACCCTCATCCCGACACCTGATAACTCCAAACTTGTCACATTAGACAGACTACAAAGAAGCTTGGATTGATCCCCGCAAAGTTTACTTCCACATATGCTTTTGGATAAACCGTATTTGTGGCTGCGTAAATGAATCGAAGCCCTATCAAGGGATGTCATCTTGTTTACGGAAATACCTCCACGGAAGCGGTCAGCATCCACATCTAGGCATAGATAGGCAACCATGGGGGCCGAGATAGCCAACGGGTTGCAATATCCATTGGAGCCTCCAATGATAACCAAGGTCTTCAATGTGGGGGATGCAATGTCAGAGAGGAATCCACCCCATGTACAACGTTTCAGAACCAGGTTCTTGAGGGAGTCAGGCGATAGAATGAATCTCACAGGTGCAATGGTCCAGCTCCAAATCCTCCAAAGAGCGGCACACTGAGCTAAGATGCTCCGCGAAACAATCGTCCAGAGGTACGTGGCAGAGATACAGCCTTCTGAGGCGCCAAGAACTGGGGCTCAGATTCAATCCCTGACGCTGACTGATGGCATGACCTGATCCTGGCGTGCAGTATTTCATCGCGCGACGGAGCCAAGCCGCTGCTTGTCGGCCGCTGTATTCCCAACCTTGTGTTGCACTGCTGGAGCAACCATAGGACTGAGGTTTCCTGCCCCTATCAATGTCCAGCCTGAATGAATCCAGCAGCGCGATGTTACAACGGAGCATGAGGTTGACGGCGAAATCCTCGAATTCGTCCCACCCTTTGCCCTTGTCCTGGTTGTTGCCGGAGCCGGGGTCGGTGCTGTCATCATCATCAGAGTAATAGCTGCTGTTGCTGCCGCCACTGCTGGAGGCATGCACTGCCGCCTTGGTCCTGAACTCAATGATGTCGACATCGAGGCACGGCACGGAGCGCCAGAGGTGCCTCCAGCGTGTGGACAGCACGCACGTCTGCACCATCTGTCGGGCCATCTGTCGGGCCTTGAGGGAGGACAAGATGATGTGGAGAAGGCAGTCAGGTAGATCGCTCAGCCGGTCCAGGCTGCCGGCCGAGATTCCGCTGCCGCCGTCGCCGCCGCTTACACGGGTCCGTTTCCTTGTGCCCTCTGCAAGCTCCATGGAGTACGTGTCCTGCAAGCTCCATGTACATATACTATACTTATAAGACGACCGAACGACCAAATTAGAAGGAAATGTCTAGTCAACAACAGGTTATTTTAGCCCCTCCCATCAACCAAATTTTTCTCATACACTTACACTGTCTTATAGCTATATTTACACTGCCTTATTACTATTGTAATTTATTGGAAAGAGTGATGTAATTTGGGAATAACACAAATATATGCCAAAATTTTCAAAAAGATTTACAAATTATTTCTATGAATTCCAGACATCAGAGAAATATATATCAAATTATTCACAAATTCTTCAGAAATAAAAAAAAACAAAATCCACACAAGGAGGTGAGAGAGGAGAGATTGTCGCAGGGTGTTCCGTGCTCGCGTTTGTGTGTCCGGCAGGGACACAGGCACCAGCATGATTGCTTGCTTGACGCTGAAGCTGAGCGGACGCACGCACAGGGACGCATTGCACGCACGCATGCGCTAGCATGATCGGAGGCGGGGGGAGGCCGATGCTTCCGCATCACGCGGCCCAAAAAACGGTTGATAATAACCGGCAAATCAACCGGTTGATCATTAGCCTTTCTGAATTAGAAAAAATATATAAATCTCTATACTTCCATGTATTACCAAAAGAGTCCGGTTCGATTACAACTTAGAACACCTCAGAGTCCGGTTCGATTACACCTCAGAGTCCGGTTCGATTACACACAGAAATTGTCTGAACAATAAGGAATTTGCGAAAAAAGACACAAAAATAAGTTTTCTTCTTAAAGAAAAAAGTTTGTTGGGGGTACAGTACAGCGGAATCCCCATTTCCAATTTACTCAAGAACGCACGAAATTCGATCCCCCATGCACTACCGTATTAGAGATACGGCCATGCACCCCATGCACTAACGTATTAGAGATGAACAATCCTATACGAAGATTCCTATTCCTTCACAGCAATCGATTACGGGCGGGTGGGTCGTAGGGAAGCGGCGGCGCAGAGATGGGTGGTCCGGTGAAGGGGCTTACCGAGCGCCCGCGCCATAGCCTCCATCCTGCCGCGGGAGGAGACTGGAGAGGCTCCAATCCAACCGGAAGCGTCGGAGAGAGCGGGAGACGAGCTGCCGAAACCCTCGCCTCCGTCGGCGTCGACGGCGAGTCGGCGACGGCAAGTGGGGAAAAGAGGAGGAATGGGGTCGGCGAACTGGCCACACAGCGGCCCCCCGCTGGGAGCTGGAGGCCCATTTCTCCACAGCAACGTTTCTCGAGGCCCATTTCCGCCAGGGCCGTGACGATTTTTTTATCATTTTAACCTCAAAACTAAAAAAAAAAAACTAATACTGTAGTAATAACACAAGACGAATTAAATATTTTTTGGATTATTATTTTTGTCACGTCAAAAGAGACATTACATGACAGATGAATACACTGAGCCTACTCGGCTGCACGTTTTGGTATGGCTGCAACTTTGCTCTATATGGTGTGTTTCGTTTGCATTTTAGACCTAGCCTGGCTAGCCCACTAAGCTACGACAACACAAGTTTGGTTCTCCTAATGTAAGAAACTGTTATTTGGTTTACTTGTCTTATCTGAGCCTGGCTTACCCAGGTCGTATTTGGTTGCCTCGATAGCTTGAATACAGTCACCGGTACCTCATCCTTACTCAGGTAAGGTTACCTCATAAAGGCATTATGTCGAACGGTTTGTGAGCATTAGTACCGTGAGAGCTCCTCCAGAGTCCAGATGGATGGCGAGGTCGTGCTCCCCTCCAGGATTGAGGTCGCCGTCACCGTTTTGTGGCTCAGTCGAGGTTGTTGTTCCCTCGCTGACGAGTGCACTGACGCTGCGGCCGTGGACGCGAACATGCCACCACGGGCTACACACTCTAGTGATGTTGCCTCGCGCTATAGTGCCACCGTGACGCATGCCGCTGGGCACGCCCCTGCAGTGCTCCTCCTCCGACCCCTCACCATGGCCAGGGCTATGGCACCTCTGCTGGCATTGCAAGGTCGCGCGAGGCCATGCCGGCAATGGCAGGGACAGGCGCGAGCCCATGTCGACGAAGGGTGGCGTGAGCCTACTCCGCTAGCGGCGGGGAGCGGCGCAACAGTGAAGGGGAGGTGACCTAATTCACCCCTGCTGCTTCGACTAGCCTGGCTACGGGAGAACGAGCACCCTCTGCGTTTCCACTAAGCCTGGCTAGGAGCATCTCAAGCAGTCCCCCAATTCCCATCCCTTATGAGAAAAACATGTATTTTGAGGGATTTGAGAGCTCCAGCAGATTCCCATTCTAGACCCCAATGAAAAAAAATCTCAGTCCCTCAAAATCCATCCTCCAACCCCCTCAAAGATTAGGGAAACCTCCCTTCCCCAATACCTGAGATTTTTGGCGCTAGCTCCAACTGAAGTTCCTTCCCGCCTCCGGTGAGCTATCGTTGCTCCCGGTGGCCTCCAGTCGCGCCGTAGATGACGGGGGTTCTCCAGCTCGCGTCGGGGATGGTGGGGGTGCTCCAGCTCGTGTTGGGGATGGTGGAGGTGCTGCTCGCGTCGATGGCGGGTGGAAGTGCTCCGAACTCGTGCCGGTGGAGGTGGAGGTTGCCGAGGTCACGCCAGTTGGATCTGCCAGGCCCAATGGGAGGAAGGGCAGCGCTGAGCGTAGGTCGCCGCGTGCCGCCAGGCCCAAGGCCGCTGGATCCTCCTCCATTGCGGTGGGGCGTGGGAGCGAATGGATGGGGCGTCGGGGGAGAGAAAGAAGTGGCAGGTTCTCTCGGTGCGGAGAGAACGAGGAGGCGGCGAGGAAGAGAGTCGCGCTGGGAGAAGAACCGATCGGGAAAAAAAATATGTTTTTGGCTGACAAGTGGGACCCATCTATATTGGGGTTGTGTTTTTTTGATCTGCTGCAATACCTCCCCCAATACTCTAAAAAGTAGTATTGGGCCATCCCCATTATCAACTTATTGGGGGAGATGGATTAATAGACCGCTAGAAATGCTCTAAGGGGCTCTCCCTGCACCAGCTAAGCCTACCTACGGATACCGAACAGGCAACCAAACAGATAGTGTTCTTTGCAGTGTTGCACAATGTTGTAAAGAGCACAGCCAAGCAAGCATGCCATCTTACTTGCGCGACCGATAAAATGAGTTGTTGTCTTGCTAGGTCTGACATTTAATCACTTTTTACTGTCAATCCCAAACAAAGAACCTAGATACCATAAAATTTTAATCTTTTCAATGAAGCATAACCTATTTTACTTGGATCTGGTGTCATATTCATCATTTTTAGAATTATTAAATTTTCTCTCGAAATGCTATAACTGTCTGTTCAAGTAAGCTGTTTTTTTCCTTGTCGATCCAAATGTTTAAAATGAAGCATGGCCCCCTTTTTATCACTACGATAGACCAAAACTCCATCACCTAAGCTATTTTTCCTTATGGATCCAAATCTACCCTAGTAACAAAGCACCATTGTTACATTGTTAAATCTACACATAAAACCTCCCCCGCTGAGATGGTGCTCCATCCACTTACTCCAAAAATGTATCTAAAAAAACAAAAACATTGAAATGAACCGTCCAAATGTCTTCTTAGTACTCTCTCTCCTTACTCAAATCTAACAGATCATCTGTATCATCCTCCTTGGCCCCTACCACCAACCACGCGTAAGGAACCTCAGTCCAACATGCACACAACGCCTCAACTCCATCCGGGCTTCATGTCGCCTCTTCTCTCGCACGCGATCCTCTCCCCCACGCGGCGCGGCTCCTCCTCTCCCCATGCCGCCTGGCCGCCAGGGAGCCGGCCACGACGCCGCGCCTAGCGTCGCCCGCCATACCCTTCGAACTGCGCTGCCCCTCTATCCCCTCCATCCCCATCCATGCGCGACGAGGAGGCGTGTGAGGAGCACGATGGCGACAGCGAGGGCGAAAACGTGGAAGGCAAGGAGCCAGCCCAGGTGGAGGTGGCCTTGCGACACGCTCCCACCCCTCATTTTCCTATCCCAATCTCCGTTTCCTATTAACCAAACGCCACCTCACAAGAATCGATTACGGATGGGTCATACGAGAAGCGATGGTGTAAAGATGGGTGGTCCAGGGAAGGGGCTTACCGATCGAGCGCCCGTGCCATAGCCTACAGCCTGCCAAGGGAGGAGAGGATCCAATCCAACCCGAAGCACCGGCGCGGAAACCCTCTTCTCCGTCGGCATCGACAGCAAGTGGGGAAAAGAGGAGGAATGGGGATTGGCGAACTAGTGAAATACACATGTACACAAACAGAGCATTTTTATGCCAAATCAAAAACTTAAAACCAGACGGACAGGTCCTAAAGAACTAAGCTACACTCAATTTTCGTGTGCAGTGCACGTTAACAATGTAAAAATGTACATGTGCTTAGATTGGCATGTAAAAGTGTATATACGCCGTGACCGTGACAATGTGCAATTTTGTGCATGCTGCTTCTTTTTTTTTCTTTCTTTCTATGAAGCCGATGCGTGCTCAACCAGGTCATCGTATGCTTCACGTGCGTCGGTATTTCCTTTCAGATAACCGACGCAGAGAACGAAACAAGAATGAACCACAAATAATTAAACGATCGGAGCTGGTGTTTAGTCTTTGAAAGTATATATATGTACCTTTGTTAAGTCCCAAAAAGGATCCAAGGAAAAAAACGAAGGGAGCACGCAATTTCCATGTCCATTTAGAAGCTTTCAGTGTTTTTTTTAATAAATTAGAAACACTTCCAACAAGGAAAAAAAAATGAAAGAAAACATGCAAATGCAAGTGGACACAGTTCATATAGTAGGGCTTTAAAAGAGATATTGAAGCAATCTTATCCTTAAGGAAGAAAGCAGAGCAAATTGCAATGGCAAGATTAACAAAGCAAAGGCTTACATCATATAGAAATGAGTCAAAAGTACATGCTCGCTACTTATAAAATGCATTTAAAATTGACATGAACGACGAACCATGAGTGAGATACCAAAAAGTCTAGACTAACAATAACGCTACTCAAATTTGGTGAGTCTCATGTAATCCTTGAGTGTTTGGTACCAGAATTAGAGTGAGACTAAGAGTAACGGAAGGTAGAAGAACAGAGATGGGTTCAGCCAGACGAGGAATACTGGCAGATTCAATTAGAATTTAGTGGTCTGATTAGTTCATAATTTCTTCTCCTCTCCCTCAGACACTCGTCTATATCTCTCTTGCTGCACAACATAAACAAGCCACTTTACATGGCTCATTCCCATTCTGGTCCCGAGATGCGCACGCTGGTCCTCCTGCGCCGAGTTCCCCGACGACGCCCAACTCCAGTTGAATGAGGCATCGAATCTTCAGTAGCAGCAGCAGCGTCAGGAACAGCATCAGTTGTACCTTTGAGATTTGGTAAGTCACGCACAAGCTCGTCAACAGATCGACAGGCATCGTCATCTTTATGTATGATTTCAAGCTCGACGTTCTCATCACGTAGGAAGTCCAGGCCACAGCAGCAACCAGAAGATGAGGTCTTGTCCAGTTTGCGCGTTCCTTCCTTGTCCTCAGAATCACCTGGGAACTGTATGTAGGCAAGGAACACGAAAGATGTGAGATGAATGATGAACTATGTTGCATTGGTTGGTTACATAAGGAGCTAGAAACCAAGCTAGTGTACCTTGCAGTGCCGCAAAGTGACCTTCTCTAGATTAGGTGAACCTCGATGAAAGAACCGCAATACGCGGAAGTCATCACTGAGATCACAGTCGCCCAGCAGCAAGTTCCTCAGGTTCTGGAATTCCAGGAATTTCATCGCGCGACGGAGCCACGCCGTTGCTTGTTGGCCGCTGTATTCCCAGCCTTGTGTTGCACTGCCAGACCAATTATAGGACTGAGGTTTCCTGCCCCTATCAATGTCTAGCCTGAAGGAATCCAGCAGCGCGATGTTACAACGGAGCATGAGGTTGACGGCGAAATCCTCGAATTCATCCCACCCTTTTCCCTTGTCCTGGTTGTTGCCCGAGCCGAAGTCGGTGCTGTCATCATCATCAGAGTAATAGCTGCTGTCGCTGCCGCCATTGCTGGAGGCATGCACCGCCGCCTTGGTCCTGAACTCAACGATGTCGACGTTGAGACACGGCACGAAGCGCCAGAGGTACCTCCAGCGTGTGGATACTCTTGATCTTGGAGCTGATTTGTTGTCGGCCCGGATCTTGGAGCTGATTTGTTGTCGGCCCGACTCGTTAAGATCCTGCGCTCTCACATGTCATAGGTCCAACGGAGCTAACGACATATGAGGCACATGGGCCTTAATCAACCCAAAAGACTGATGTCGACGTCGAGGCATGGCACGGAGTGCCAGAGGTGCCTCCAGCATGAGGACAGTGTTGGAACCGGTGGTGACCACCGAGTTCTCAATCTTGGAGTTGGCTTGTAGCAGCCCCGGCTCGTTACAAGCCTGCGCTCTCACAGGTCACAAGTCCATCGGAGCTAACAACATATGAGGCCTATGGGCTTTACTCAACCCAAAAGACGGATGTCGACGTCGAGGCACGGCACGAAGCGCCAGAGGTGCCTCCAGCGTGTGGACAGTGTTAGAACCGGTGGTGACCACCGAGTTATCGATCTTGGAGCTGGCTTGTAGCCGCCTCGGCTCGTTACGAGTTTGCGCTCTCACAGGTCACAGGTGCACCGGAGCTAACAACATATGAGGCCCATGGGCTTTACTCAACTCAAAAGACTGATGTCGACGTCGAGGCACGGCACGGAGCGCCAGAGGTGCCTCCAGCGTGTAGACTCCCACAGGTCCTAGGTCTATCGGAGCTAACAACACATGAGGCACATGGGCCTTACTCAACTCAAAAGACTAGCTTAATAGGTTGGACTATCTTCTTCCCGTTCGGCTAGACACAAAAGCCGACTTATTCGGCTTTTTTTTTTAACCAAAATAGTGTTTTTTTCTCACAACAATTCAGCCGGAACCGTGTTTTTCAGCCAAATTCGCTCAGCAAACGGGGCTATATACTGTGCTTCCCAACCATCTATATCGGACTAACCCCCAACAGTCAGCACGCACAACTGCACCATCTGTCGGGCCTTGAGGGAGGACATGATGATGTGGAGGAGGCAGTCCGGTAGAGCGCTCAGCCGGTCTGGGCCACCGGCCGAGCTTCCGCCGCCGCCGCCACAGCTTGCACGGGTCCTTTTCCTTGATCCCTCTGCAAGCTCCATGGAGTACGTGTCCTGCAAGCTCCATGTATATACTATATTTATAAGATGACCAAACGGCAAAAAAATCTCTAATTCCAATTATTACCATAGGACACCTCTGAAACTTGTTCGAGTACAAACTTAGAACAGCTCAGAGTCCGGTTCGATTACACCTCAGAATCCGGCTCTAATTCACACAGAAATTTTCTGAACAATAAGAAATGCGAAAAAGACTCAAAAATATATATATATTTTTTTAAAAGTTTGGTTGGGGTACAGTACAGCGGAATCCCCATTTAATTTTTATACACAAGAACGCACGAAATCCGATCCGATTAAGAGACGGGATGTGCAGCTAAATCGGGAGGCAACGCAAGATCTGGAGATACGACCATGGCCCCATGCACTTCCGTATTAGAGATCAACAATACTACGCAGATTCCTATTCCTTCACAGCAATCGATTACGGACGGGTAACGGGGAGCGATGGTGCAGAGATGGGTTGTCCGAGGAAGGGGCTTACCGAGCGCCCGCACCATGGCCTCCAGCCAGCCGCCGGAGGAGAGGCTCCAATCCAACCGGAAGCTCTGGAGATAGCGGGAGACGAGCTGCCGACACCCTCGTCTCCGTCGGCGTCGAACGGCGACGGCTAGTGGGCAAAAGAGGAGGAATGGGAGTAAAGATGGCAACGGCTCCCGATACCCGATACCCGACGGGTATTTATCCGGGTATTTATCCATCAGGAGACGGGGATAGAATCATATCTTTACCTGTGGTATCTAAATGGATAAGAATCTATAACCGATGGGTATAGTGGGTACGGAAACATTCCTTGTTTACCCGTTCCCGTTACCTGTTGGGGAACTCGACTATTTGAGCTGTCATGCAAGTATTAGACCCAAATAAGCTCAACATAGATATTTTGGCCCAAATCTGAACAATTATATATATAGTTTGTGTTTTAGGAACCCTAGTTTAATTTTTCCTCACCATCTCCGCCAGCAGCACAAGCACGCCTGCCTCACGAGCGCTCGTGCCCCTCGCTTTCTCAGTTAGGTCTCTCTGCCACCTTTGCTCGTCCTCCTCGCAACCTCGCTCCTTCTCCTCGGCATCTTCGAGACCCCGACACTTATACGCGGGTGAAGAAGAAACGTCTCCGATTACAAAGCTGTGACCCCAAGTATCCTTGTTTATCAGGTATGCAGTACCCGTCGGGTATCTGTTATCCGACCGATGCCCGACGGGTACGGGGATGGACAAGAATCTATACCCGAGACAGTTAACGGGGACGGGGATGTGATGATTTCTCCGTAGCGGGAAAGAGAACGTTCCGGCGATACCCAACGGGTATATCCCCGTTGCCATCCTTAAATGGGAGTCGAGCAAGATTTCTCCAAGGCCCCTGAATCCCTGATTAACAAGGCGCTTTGTTTGACCTCCTTAACTACTGTCTAAATGTTGCTAAAAAAACTACCGTCTAAATTCAATTTACCTGAATGTAAACTAGAGTTTATAAAAAATTGTAGAAATAGTTTTTCACTTCTCCTATATTTTAGGTGCCTGAATTTTAACATGATTTCAGCCAACACTCTTATACTCAGTGTTTTAAGGCGTCGCTTAGCGACGCTTAAGCATCGGGGCGCTCCTGGCTCTCCTCAGGGGTAAGGCGGCGCCTTATCGCCTTATGCACATGCTGATGCCCCCTCGATTCCGCTGTCTCATCGATTTTGATGCTGGCCTGCTCGATTCCGCTGTCTTCTCGTTGATTCTATTGCTGGCCTGCTCGATTCTGCCATCTCCTGCTCGATCTGGAGGGGGACGGCGGCGACTTTAGAGCTAACGCTGAGCAACGAGGGAGGGGAAGCAGAGGAGCGGAGGGAAGCAGAGCAGCGCAACTGGAGGGGGGCGAGCGAAGCAGAGCAATGCATCTGGAGAGGGGTGAGCGAAGCAGAGGGGGGAACGAGAGAGAGGAGAGCGATGGTGTTTGCGCGAATCGGGAGATTTGGGAACGAGAGAGAGGGGAGCCACCACCACGCCAAGACAGGACCCAGGAGGGGAGGGGCATGGGCTGCCTGGTGGGCTGGGCCTGTCCATTTGTTATTCCTTTTTTTCATTTTTCCTTTTTTTCTTCATCAACTACTGCTCTAAGCTGATACTTTACGTTTTGCTTAAATTCTTAAGGCGTCGCCTCGCCTCACGCTTTAGTAACCTAAGTGTAAGGCGGTAGTCCGTCGCCATGCCTTGCTTTACCACATTAAAAACACCGCTTGTACTACCAATTAATACGGGTAAATTGTCACTTTTGCGATTTGTTATTTGTCTTTGTATCATAACATATCAAATTTTTGTCCTTGTCTAACAACAGTGTCGGTGCAGAAAGTGACCAACACGTAAATATTTGTAGTTTTGTCGTACGATGTGATCGGATGTGGCCTAGCACTCAATGACACAGGGTTTATACTGGTTCAGGCAACGTGCCCTACGTCCAGTTTGAGTCGGTCGGTGACTTTATTCCTGAGCCCAGGTGCTCGAAATTTGTAGTGGGGTTACAAACGAGAAGGAGAAAGATGGGGGTACAAGAGGTCCGGTCAGACTCTGGTCTGAAGGGCCAAAAGTGACAGGAGCTCCGCTATATGCTAAGTGTTCGAGCGTGCGCTCTGTGTAGCTTTTGGTGTCAAAAGCTAGCAGGGGATGAATCAATGTAAGTGAACTGATCTTTTTTTGTTGGGAGATAGTGCATCCCCTTTTATAAACGAAGGGGACGGCCTTACAAGAGAGAGAGAGAGAGAGAGAGAGAGTATACGTATGCTAAGTCTTGTTGCCCATGTCATCGGGTACAAGATGATTGTAGGCGCCCATAACACTGTTTGTGTTAGATACATATGGGAGGTTGCGCCGTCTTCTTCTGGTATGGCAGACGTCGGTGCCTGCCATACTGTTGATGCCCAGAGGCATGCAAGGGTTTTACCGTGCTCGTCTGGTGGGTTAAATGTCGGCGCCCACAACACTATTGATGCCCAGAGGCATGTGAGGAGCCTTACCGTGTTTGTCTGGTATGGGAGTTGATGCCGCCCACAACACCGTAGGGCAAATGTCGGCGCCCACAACACTAATTGGGTTCTGACATGCCAGGAAGGGTGCAAGGTACCCTTCTGACATGCCCTGTTGGTACTGTCCTGCAGATGTACAGGTATGGTCCTCGATATTGCGGTTTGACTTTGAGTGCCCTGCCTTACTCTCTCCGTCCGCTTACTGGTCCCCACCGAGCGGGCGTCCCCAGTCAGTTGGTCCTAGTCGGCTCTGATCGCGCCAGTCGGAGAAGAACTGTAAGCAGGGGTTTGGCGCATCCCCGATCGGAGACGTGGGTCAGAGTCGGAAGTGGTGTTTGGCAAGGCCTTCCGGTCGGAGAGGCGGGCTAGAGTCGGAAGCGGGCGTCGTTCCTCCTCGGCCAGGCCTTTGGGTCAGAGATTGGATCGCCCTTCTACCCTATCGTTTAGGTATTTGGGTCAGCCCAGGAGTTGTGCGTTGTTCGCAACGTCGTCTGTTGGGCCAAGCTTTTGCAGGTGAAGTCAGTCCATGAGGGACCCCGGGTTTATGAACCCGACAGGAGCCCCCGAGCCCCTAGACGATTCAGGTAGAATCGTCTGGGGATTTTTCGTCTTGATGGCGGGTGCGCGCGAGCGCACCCATGGGTGTAGCCCTTGAGACCCCGGGCGATTCGGGTAGAATCGTCTGGGGGGGGTTTCGTGTTGCCAGCGGGGGAAGTTTTATTTCGTCAGCGGGTGTGCGCGAGCGCACCCACGGGTGTAGCCCCTGAGCCCCTGGGTGATTTGGACAGAATTACCTAGGGGGTTTTTGTCAGCGGGCGTGTGCACTTTGGTTGAGTCAGAGTTGTTTTAACTAAGGCGTTGGTCGTAGGGACCGCGATCGAGCGAGAGGAGCTCACGGATCCTGGCGTCAGGCGCTGCTGATGGATCAGGCGAGGCAGACTCGCGGACCCATCGTGCGTAGCTGAGCCAGTTTAGGGATCGGGCGAGAGGAGCTCATGGATCCTGGAGTTGGGCGCTGCCGAGGGATCGAGCGAGGCGGACTTGCGGACCCGTCGTGCGCAGCCGAGATAGTTTAGGGATCGAGCGAGAGGAGCTCGCGGATCCTAGCATCGGGCGCTGCTGAGGGATCAGGCGTGGTGGACTCGTGGACCCATCGTGCACAGCCGAGGCAATTTAGGGATCGGGCGAGAGGAGCTCTCGGATCCTAGGGTTGGGCACTGCCGAGGGATCGGGCGAGGCAGACTCATAGACCCATCGTGCGTAGCCGAGGCAGTTTAGGGATCGGGCGAGAGGAGCTTGTGGATCCTGGCGTCGAGCGCTACAGAGGGATCGGGCGAGGCGGACTCACGGACTCATCGTGCGCAGCCAAGGCAGTTGGGGGTATGGCCCCCGGTATCAACAAGACAAGACATGGTTCGCACCATCAGAGGTGGCCTAGCCCACAAGATCAAGGCATGCACGACGCTGCTCGACGTGCACTGCAAGCTATTGTATAGTACCAAATAGGATACTTTCCTTTTAACCCTACTCGACATCTCAATGCAATACATCAGAACACAGCATGTAAGTATTACATCATACTGACGGCCGAACCTGTCTAAATCTTGTGTCTTGGTGCTTGTATTACCATCTCGCTCATGATCTCGCTCGCCTCTATGACAAATCTACCATCATGGGATACCCCTCGGTGGATTGCCGAGCATCTTTTCTCGACAGTTGGCGCGCCAGTTAGGGGTGTGCGATTGCTCCATGGCAGGCCATATTGGATCTCAACATCAATGCCATTCGTGGCAACTTGGCTTCTCACGGCGGCGACAGCGTCCTTCATCAACCTACGACGATCAAGCCCTGGTGCCCAAACGCAACTTGCAGCAGCACTTTGGGCGTGTGGCGGCGGCCCTGTGCTTTTGGCATGTGCTAGAAGGCCGACGGATCTTGATCGGGACAGCAAGGTCAAGACGTATATGCACA